TCAGGAAAGCACAGGGTGGCCCAGTGCGTTTGGTTAGGTAAGTTGGCTGGAACCGTAGGCTGCAGCCTGGTCCAGTGAAGCTAATGCCCTCAGTGCCCTGCTCATAAGCCCTCAGGCCTCACCTTCGTATCCCAGCCCACCAGCATCTGCATCTCTTTGAGGGCTCTCTCTGATGACCCAGTGTGGCTTCATACACAGCAGATAGGATGCATATGCCTCCTGGATGCCAGCATCTGTTAGCCTCTGACAGACTTGGAACTGGTTTATAAACACCCTTCCTCACTTCCCCTTGTGTCGGGTTAGCTCTAAGACACCTGCTGTTCAATCATCGCCCCCCAGAGATCCCCAACAGGACTAAGCTCAGTTGCCTAGAGTGACAACTTGCCTCATAATACACCCTTACTCTTTGCCTTCCCTTTCCTGTCTCACTTCCTCATTTCTTTCTGTTATCTCCTCTGATCACTTCCAAAAATCTGTCGTATACCCTCAGTTCTTATTTTTGGCTGCACTGGGTCTTCGTTGCTGCGCCCAGACTTTCTCTAGCTGCGGTGCTCGGGTTTGCTGTGGAAGTGGCTTCTCCTGATGCCGTGTGGGTTCAGCACTTGTGGTGTGCTGGCTCAGTCCCCCCCCGGGGCATCTTCCCAGACCAGGGTTCAAACTCGTGTCCCTCCCACTGGCAGGCAGACTCCTAATCACTGGACAGCCCGGGAAGTCCTACACTCAGATTTTTTAAAATCTCAAGGACTGTTTCCAGTGAAAGTAAATCTAAAACATCACGGAAGACCTGGGATGCCAACTTAAGAAGACTGGACTTCCAGCAGTAAGTGCTTCCTTCATGCCAAGTCATAATGGTGTGTGTGAGTCCCTCAGTTGTGTCCGACTCTCTGCGAACCCCTGGACTGTAGCCCGCCAGACTCCTCTGTCCGTGGAATTCTCCAGGTAAGAACATTGGGATGGGTTGCCATTCCCTTCTCCAGGGGATCTTCCCGACCCAGGGCTCAAACCCAGGCTCCTGTACTGCAGGCAGATGCTTTACCATCTGAGCCACCAGGGAAACCCCAAAGTCAAGATATAAATGATTATTCTTATCATTTATAAGATAAATGATAAGACAATTCTTATCTCGTGGTACAGAACAAATTGAACCATGATTATTTGTTGGCGTGTTACTTCTCCTGTTAGATCCTGAACATTATTTGCAGATGGTGTCTTATAAACTGCCATTCTTCCGACACTTTCTCTTGGGATGTGGGAATCTCCCAGCCAGTCTGCTCCTAGCTGGTACATATTGCTATGTGTGTGTGTGTGCTAAGTCACTTCAGTTGTGTTTGACTCTTTGCAATCTTATGGACGGTAGCCCGCCAGGCTCCTCTATCTGTGGGATTCTCCAGGCAAGAATACTGGAGTGGGTAGCTCTTCCCTTCTCTAGGGGACCTTCCCAACCCAGGGACTGAATCCAGATCTCCTGTATTGCGGGCGGATTCTTTACCGTCTCAGCCACCACGGAAGCCCAAGCATTGTGGAATGCTGTGTTTTTGCATCTACTATTACTCACACATTTCCAAGGTTCCTTCTTTTACCTTTTCCTTTCTGTTTAAAGAACTTCCTTTAGCCATTTTTTTAAGGTCAAGCCAAGACTTTCATCCCCACCCAGGTAATTAGATATCACTCCCTACTATAAATGGATTACATGTACCAGTCAAAAGGCAAAGATAGGCAGAATAAAAAATTTTTTTTTGCCTGCACCACCTCGTTTTCAAGATCTTAGCACTCAGACCAGACATCAAACCCAGCCCATGGCAATAAAAGCACTGAGTCCTAACCGCTGAACAACCAGGGAACTCCCTAGAATAGATGTTTTTTAAATAACCAAAATATATACTGTCTATAGGAAATTCAATTGAAATATAATAATACTGGTATGTTAAAAGTAAAGGGATGGGGAAAAGATGTAGCATGCAAATATTAATCAACAGATAGGAAAGGAGAAATAGACAAATCCACAACCATACTTGCAGATCTCAACACCCCTGTCTTAAAAACTGATAGAACAACTATTTGGAAAATCAGCAAAGATATGGAAGAATTCAACAACACCATCAACCAATAGGACCTAATTGATGTTTATAAGAGACTCCACCCACGAGCCATAGCAAATCCACAATACTTTCAAATGCCTGAGAAGCATACACCAAGGAACACTACGTATTCTGAGCCATAAAACAAAACTCAGGTTGAAAAGAATTGGGAGAAGGGGTTGCTAGGGCTGTTAGGGAGTAAATACTAACAGGGGTGGGGTTTCTTTTAGGGGTGTCGAAAATATCCTGGAGTTAGTAGTGATGATGGTTGCAGTACCTTGTGAATGTATGAAGGAATCAATGAATTGTACACTTCTCAATGGTGAATTTTATGGTGTATGAATTAACCTCAATTTCATCAAAATTAAATCTTTAACTCTGTGAAAGAAGCTGTTAAGAAGATGAAAAGACAAGTTACCATTGGAGAAAAAAATATTTGCAAGCCACACATCTGACAAAGGACTCGTATCTGGTGACTCAACAGTGAAAAACCAAACACTCTAGTTAGAAAGTGGAGAAAAAGCATGAGAGCTAGTTCACCAGAGAAGATACATGGATGGCAAATAGGCACATGAAGAGATATTGCATAGTGATAGCCCTATCACATAGCTGACCACAGTAAGATACCTTGGCTTCCCAGGCGGTGCAGTGGTAAAGAATCAGCTTGCCAGTGCAGGAGACACAAGCGACGCAGGTTCAGTCCCTGGATTGGGAAGATCCCCTGGAGGAGGAAATGTCAACTCACTCTAATATTGTGCTAAGTGGCTTAGTGTGTCTGACTCTGTAACCGCATGGACCATAGCCCATCAGGCTCCTTTGTCCATGGGAATTCTCCAGTCAAGAATACTGGAGTGGATTGCCATGCCTTTCTCCAGGGACTCTTCCCTGCCCAGGGATCGAAGCCAGGTCTCCTGCATTGCAGGCAGGTTCTTTACCCCCTGAGCCACCAGGGAAGCCCCTCACTCTAATATTATTGCCTGGAAAATTTCATGGACAGAGGAGACTGGCAAGCTACGGTCCATGGGGTCACAAAAGAATCAGATATGACTTAGTGACTAAACAACAACACACATTCATTAGTGATTTAATTTTGGAAGAGCTAACATTAAAAATAAGTGATAACACCAAATACTAGCTCAGATGCACAGAAAACTGGAATCCTTAGTATTGGTGGGAAGGTAAAATGACAGTCCCTTTGGAAAATAGCATGGCAGTTTCTTTTTTCTGCACCGGGAGGCATGCAGGATCTTAGTTTCCCAACCAGTGGACCAAGGATCATACTTGTGCCCCCTTCAGTGGAAGCACAGAGTCTTAACCACAGGACCACCAGAGAAGACCCTTGGCAGTTTCTTTAGAAAACTAAACATGCATTTATTTTATGACCCAGCAATTAATTGCATGCCTGGGCATTTATCTCAGAGAAATGAAAACCTATGTCCATGTCAAAGCCTTTGTGTGTACGTGATTGTTTTTATGAGCTTTGTCTGTAGTTAAGTGAAAGTGAAGGCGCTCAGTCGTGTCCGACTCTTTGCGACCCCATGGACTGTAGCCTACCAGTCTCCTCTGTCCATGGGATTTTTCAGGCAAGAATACTGGAGTGGGTTGCCATTTCCTTCTCCAGGGGATCTTCCCAACCCAGGGATCGAAACCAGGTCCCCTGCATTGTCAGCAGACGCTTTACTGTCTGACCCCCCAGGGAAGTCCTTATCTGTAGTAACCTCAGACTAAAAACCTATGAGAGGGTGGTTTAAATAAACTGCAGTGCATTGCTCCATGAAATACTAGTTAGTCATCGATAAAAAAAAGAGTAAACTGTGGAAACCCACAACAGCTTGGATGTATTTCAAGGGCACTATGTGATGTTTAAAAAAAAAATACCACCTCAAAAGGTCACATATGATATGATTCTGTGTGTATAACATTCTCGAAATGACAGCATTTTGCAGGGGGACAGATTAGGAGTTGCTAGGGGTTAAGGATGGTGGGGGAAGGGAGACGTGACTGAGAAGAGAAGACACTCGTAAGATCTTTGTGGTGACGGAATAGGTTTGGCTTGACACTTACACCACTGTCGATTTCCTGGGTATGCTATTTTACCATAATTGTGTACGATGTGACTGTCGGGGAACACTGACTTCTCTGTTTTGTTTTTGCAACTTCCCGTGAATCTGTAATTATTTTTTTAGGTGGTTTATTCTAATCGAAGTGAAAATGTTAGTCTCTTAATAGTAGTGTTCAACTCTTTTGTGACCCCCATGGACTGCAGCCTACCAGGCTCCTCTGTCCAGGGGATTTCCCAGGCAAGAATACTGGAGTGGATGGCCATTTCCTTTTCCAGGGGATCTTCCCTACCCAGGGATCGAACCCACATCGCCTGCATTGGGGCAGATTCTTCAGTGCTGAGCCACCAGGGAAGCGTATTAATTATTACCTTATGAGAAAACTGTGCCCAGTATGGATGTACTTCATTTATCCTGCAAAAACAGGCCATGAGGTATCGTACAGAGTTTAATTTTCCATATGACATAAACTTATCTCTCTATATAATGTTAGAACATTTCATGGGCATTTTGCCAAAATATATTAACATTGTCCCTGCTTTTTTTTTTCTTTTTCCACACACAAAAACATAAGACAGAATTCAACATCATGGTCCGATCAGGGACTGGGGACTTGCCAGGCACTCAGCTGCAAATATTGACTCCTTTATTCTCTTTGAAGAAAATTCAGTTTTTAATTGAATAGGAAAGTTTATTGAGCAAATCAAATCTTTTTAAAATGACTGGTTGAAAACTTTCCTCTCCTCCCTACCAGACCCATGGAGCCTTCTGTTGGAGAAATTCTTCAGGCTCCACCAAAGGACAACAGAGCCAAGTGCAGAGCCGGATCCAGGAGTCTTGGACTGAAAATTCAGCAGTCAGGTCACAGTTGTTGCTGGGCTTTGAGTAATGAAATGTATTTTTGCACCCATGTTTCCTTCGGCTGGGCACATACTTTCTGGCCTCTCTTGGTGGTGAATCTGTGGAAAAAGAGATGCTGAGAGTCAATACTAAGAACTTTGGCCTCCTGGAAAAGGATGGACTTGAGGGGCAGCCCCCCACCCCACCCAACTGATCTCCTCATTGCCCCCTCTTTGCTGCATCCCCATCCCTCTTCCGTCTTCCTTCTTTCTGGCTGCGTTGGGTCGAGTCTTTATTGCAGCGTGTGGACCCCTCTCTAGTTGTGGTGTTCCGGCTCCAGCTCAGGCTCCAGGGTGTGGGCTCTCAGCTGCCCCGAGGCCTGTGGGATCTTTGTTCCCTGACCAGGGATTGAACCCACGTCCCTTGCATTGGCAGGCTCATTCTTAACCACTGGACCCACCAGGGAAGCCTCCCAGCTCCCTCTTCCAGCCCCTGCCCTCCCTCCTCTCCCCTACCCTGTTTTCCAGTGGAAACCTCGCTTCCTGGCCCACGTTTGTTAGGAAACATGCCCCAACAGCTCTGGTCTGAAGCAGGTTACCTGCGCCATGCTTCTAAATTCTTCCGTTTTAATATAGCAGCTTTATTGGGATATAATTCGCACACCGTATAACTGGCCCACTTAAAGTGCATAATTAGAATTCAGGGGTTTTCGTATATCTGTAGATGACACAGCCATCACCACGATCAATTTTAGAATATTTGCATCACCGCACAAAAGAACCTTATATGCATGGAGCCACTTAATTCTTAATCATGTTATTGTGGGTTGTTTGCCACAGCTGTTCATGTGAAGATTCCTGTGTTCCTTACCGCACTGTGAGCTCCTTAAGACTGGGGGTTGTGGGGCTTCCCTGGTGGTCCAGTGGCTAAGACTCTGCACTCCCCATGCAGCGGGGCCTGAGTTCAATCCCTGGTCAGGGAACTAGATCCCACATGCTGCAAATAAAAACTGGGGCAGCCAAATAAATAAATATGAAAAAAAAAAAAAAGCCTGGGGCTTGTGGCTGATGTCACTGAATGGTTTCCAGCCTTTGCTCCTTGAGAGCATTCAGAAGTGACAAGAGCCTAAGTCAAGGAGTGCCGTGTACTTACTGGGTTCCTGCCCTGGCACGTGCAGGGGAGAAGAGCCCAAAGAATGGGAAAATAAGGGAGAAAAAGGGCTTCATGGATGTCCCAACATCCATTTGACATTGTTCCCATTAAGAAATGGGGGTCTATGTCTCCTCCCCTTGAATTTAGGCCAGTCTTAGGGGACTGGTTCACCAATAGGAATGGCAGAAGTGATGCTATGTGACTTGGTAGCTAGGTCATAGAAGGTTGTAGAACTTCTGCCTGGTTCATTGAGCACTCACGCAGGAGCTTTGGACCTCCTTGTAAGTTGTCCAGCCACCCCAGGTCACCACACCATGGGGAGGCCCAAACTAGCCCAACAGAGATCACACAGAGATGCCCTGGAGACAGAGAGATGCCTCCAGCACCCCCGAACTGATCCAGCTCCAGCACCGCCAGTCTGCTGTTGTTTAGTCACTGGGTTCTATCCAGCTCTTTTGTGACCCTGTGGACTGTAGCCCGCCAGGCTCCTCTGTCCGTGAAATTTTCCAGGCAAGAATACTGGAGTGGGTTGCCATTTCCTTTTCCAGGGGATCTTTCTGACCCAGGGATCGAACCTGCATCTCCTGCATGTGTCTTTTGCATTGCAGGTGGATTCTTGGATTCTTTACTGGTGAGACACCAGTGAAGCCACCATCTGTCCATAACCACATAAGAGATGTCAAGCCAGAGCCTCGCAGCTGAGCCCTTCTGGAATTCCTGACCCATGGGAACCATGAGAGATAAGAATATTATCACTGTTGGATTAAGCCACTAGACTTTGAGTGATTTGTTATGCAGCAACAGATGGCTGATCTAGACCCCTCACCTTCCTTTTACAAATGACTTGTGTCCAAGGTCACACAACTTGTGACAGAGACACTGCTTTGAGCTTAGCCTGGGGCCTTTTGCCAGCTGTTGGTTAAGTGTTAATGTCTGTAAAGCTCCAAAAAGTCAATCAAGACACAAAGGAGAAGACCCAGGGAGCGCATCCTGAGCCCAGGAGCATCCCCCTCCATACCTGGGCACTGGGGTGCCTCTTGCCTGCCCTTAACTGTGACAGTATTTGGGTTTCTCCTTGGAGCCTGTCATCTACCTTTCTGCACATTCTCTCATGCTCAGGAACCCCAAGTCCTGGAGAGCAGTGCGGCACCTACTTGTGTATTTATACTTAAAGATCGCTTCCATTACCCACTCTAGTATTCTTGCCTGGAGAATTCCATGGACAGAAGAGCCTGGCAGGCTACAGTCCATGGGGTCACCAAGAGTTGGGCACAACTGAGGCAACTTAGCATCGCTTCCATTTGCTGAACGTTTCCTGTGTGCAGGCTCAGCGCTATATGCTTTGCATATGTTAGCCTCATTTAGTCCTTCCAGGGACCCTTCCCGGTATGTGTCATCCCTCCTGCTACCGATGAGCTTGGCATGATCTGCCTCTTGCCCATCTGTCTGCCTTGTCAGAAATTTGTTCACCCTTCTCCCATCCACCATGCTCCTGCCAGCCCCCCTCACCTGGGCCACTCCCACTTATCCTTGGGGGTTCTCAGCATAAATGTCACTTCCTCCAGGAAACCCTCCCAACGCTAAGTGAGGTCCTCCTGTGACTATGATGAAGCGTACCCAAATATGCTGCCCCCAAATATGCCACTTTGACAAAAGGATTATTTTGAGCTAAAGACACTAAAAAACTCAAACAGTAAAAAACCCCCCAAAACAAAACAAAAAACCCCAAACACCAGCAAGTGCAAGAAGGGCATTCTGACCTCCCCTTTGCCTCCTGAAAGCAGGAGATAAAATTCCCATGTGAAAAATGTCCTCCTTGTGCCTGGAGGGAAAATTATTCTTAACGTCAGAGATAGTCAAGGCCAAGAAAACTCTGTACAAACAAACATTATTAAGATAACCCTTATCAGTCTTTAGCTTTCTTCACCCCCATATATTTTAATTACTTTTCCACAATTCCCTCTTTGTTCAAAAGCAGGTAGGCTTTGGACAAAAGCATGTAGATTTTGCTACTTCCTTGGGTCTTCATCTTCCTGTGGGGGCTCCGTGTGCATGAAAAAATCTGTATGCTTTTCTCCTGTTAATCTGTTTTATGTCCATTTAATTCTCAGGCTCAGCCAGAGCCCCTAGGAGGGTAAAGTTTTACCTCCCCTCCAATGACATGCTCCCTCCTGCTCTTTTCTCCTGCTGTCCTTTCCAAGCACTCATACAGTTGAGATTATCTATTTTGTGCAAGTGTCTTTTAATCCCCTCTTTCTTATGCTAGACGTAAGATCTATGCAAGCATGCTAAGTTGCTTCAGTCATGGGACCCTGTGGACTGTAGCTCTCCAGGCTCCTCTGTCCATGGGGATTCTCCAGGCAAGAATACTGCAGTGGGTTGCCATGCCCTCCTCCAGGGGGTCTTCCCAACCCAGGGATCAAACCCACATTCTTCTTCATTGGCAGGTGGTTCTTTACAACTAGTGCCACCTGCGTCTATAAGGGCTGTTTATTCTTTTATACCCAGCACTTAGCACAGTGCCTGGCAGATCCCTGGATCATGGTCTGCAAGTCAGGAAACCTAGCTCAGGGTCATGCTTGTTAATGCCTGAGGTTAAGCAATAACTGACTGACCAGGTTTCCAGCCTGAGGTTCATCCTGACCCTGGGGTCGGCGAGGGGGTCTGCTCAGCACCCCTCTAACTACATAACTGGTAAGGGACCCCAAAAACCCAAAGGAAAAATACTCACATCACAGCCTTCTGGGAGCAGCTGTCCCTGGTGAATTCATAGCTACGCACCCACTTCCAGGGAAGGGGTTTTTGGCTGTATTGGAAACAGCAGAACTTGGCCACATCACTGCCACCTTAGAGGAAAAAAAAAGAGAGAGAGAGGAAGGATCTTGGAGCTGGCCCTTTGCTTCCACCCCTGGTCAGCCCGGGAAGGGAGTGGGGCAGCTCCATACGTGTGGTAGCTCCAAGATCGACACTCAGGATAAGAACCAGGAAAAGAAGGGAAGCCATAGGGAAGTTCTTCATCGTGCTGCAAGCTGGGTCCTTCAGAGCCTTCCTTCTAATTCCTCTGACTTGTCAGGAACCCTCTTTTATGGGGCTGAGCCGACCCTGAAGATAGTTCCAGAGAATTTTATGGTTGAGCACAAAAACAGCTCTTTTGACCCTTCAGTGGGAAGCAACCTTTTATCTGCGAAAAGGAGACTGGAAAGTCAGGAGGTGGCATGTGGGGGAGGAGCCAGCACACCCTAAGAGTCTCTCAGCCGGGGGAATGGTTTGAGCCAACACTGATTATTTTAGAAGCAAAAACAGAGGAAATGAAATAAGAATTCTAGTGAATTGACCTCAATTGCTTTTTATAAATCTGTGATTGTTCCAGATAGATGTCTGGTTCTTGGCCAAAGCTTTTATGGTTTCTGAAGCATTGATTGTTCTCAAGGAGGTCTGGATAGTCTCAGGAGAGGACCATAGAGCAGCGTGACCACACAAAGGATGTTCAAGAATGATGCTCCAGGCATGTGCCCTTCCTAGCATCCCAGTGCTGCGCATCACCGTGATGTGCCAGGGCTGCTTGAGGGAGGCACTTAGGGGGTATCTCATCCAGTTTAGAGGATCTCAAAGTCTGTTAGAACATTACAACCATCTGGAATGTTGAAATAATCCCCGTTGGCCAGTGATTTAGTGAATTATGCCTGCACAGTAAAGCCTCTATAAACATCCCCAAAGAGGATGTCCCTGGTGGTCCAGTGGTTAAGAATCTGACTGCCAATGCAGGGGACATAGGTTAGATCCCTGCTCCTGGAAGATTCCACATGTTGTGGGGCAGCTAAGCCCATGGACCACAACTACCGAGCCTGTGCTCTAGAGCCCAGGAACCACAACTCCTGAGCTCATGTGCTGCAACTAGGGAAGCCTGCGAGCTCTAGAGCCTGTGCTCCACAACAGGAGAAGCCACACACCCACAACTAGAGAGTAGCCCCTGCTCACTGCATATACAGAAAAGCCTGAGCAGCAGTGAAGACTCAGAGCAGCCAAAAAGAAATAATAATAATTTAAAAAGAGACAAAGGATGGAGGTGGGGTGGGTCTGTCTTGGGAAGACCTCGTAGGGTCCTGCCCTGTTACAAGGTGGTGGCCTGGGCTTGTGGTGGGCGTCTGAACTGTGGGTGAAATCTTGCAGGACTGAGCCCTTAGCCTGTGGGATCTGAAACGATCTCCAGGTAGACAGGGTCAGAACTGGGTAAATTGTAGGATACTCAGCTGGTGTCTGAGAATTGCTGGGTGTGAAGAAAACCCTCCCACATCTTCATCAGAAGTAAAGTATGTAGAGTACAGTGTTTCACTGAGTAGACAGGAAACAAAGATTCTTTCCCCCTCTCAGCTCTAAATCCAGTGATTGGTATCCTGTTAATAAGTTCCATGTGAAGAAGTAGAGAGAGACACAGGGAAGATCATGTGAGGACAAAGACAAAAATTGGAACACCCAGGATCTTCCAAAAGATAAGAAGAAACAGGGAGGGATTCTCCACTAGAAATTTCAGGGGGGAGTATGACCCTCTTGACACCTTGACTTTGAACTTCTACCCTCCAGAACCATGAGAGAATAAATTTTTGTTGTTTTCAGCCATATGGATTGTGATAATCTATTCCAGAAGCCCTGAGAAACAAATGCAACTTGTATCTGTAAGGTCTAGAATTCAGAATTTCTGAGGAACACTGTAAGTCAACAAGGGAAGAGACAGATAACCCAACAGAAAAAAGTGACGGAAACTCTTTGTGAAAGAGGAAACCCTAATGACGAAGGAAAAGGGGCTGGTTTAAATGAGTCATTAGTGAAATGCAAACAAATTAGAATGGGCTATTATTCACACCCCTATCAGAATGACTAAAATGACAAAGATGGAATATACTCAATATGGGAATCTGGTGCACTGGAAACTCACATATTGCCAGTGGGAGTGTAAATTCTAGGCAGTATTTGCTAAAGCTAAACATACACAGATTCTACTCCTAGGTGTATATCCATCAGAAATGTGTACATCCGTGCACCTAAAAACATTGCTTATAATAGCCTCAAGCTGGAAACTACCAAAAGTATCCGTCAACGTAGAAGGGAAAATAAATCGTGGTTTATGAATGTTATATGATACCATACAACAATGAGAATCACACATAGCCAATGAGCCCTGGTGACTCAGCGGTGAAGAATCCACCTGCAATGCAGGAGATGCAGGAGATGCAGGTTCCATCCCTGGGTCGGGAAGACCCCCTGGAGAAGGAAATGGCCATCCACTCCAGTAGTCTTGCCTGGGAAATCTCATGGACAGAGGAGCCTGGTGGGCTTCAGTCCATGGGGCTGCAGAGTCCAACGTGACTGAGGAACTAAGCCACCACCTGTGGGAAAGTATTTTATGGCCAGTGTTGAAGAAAAGAAGCCAGATATGAAAGAGAAACATTGTAGGGTTCCTTGTATATAAAGTACCAAATAAGTAAAACGAACCCGTTATGACGGAGAAGGCAAGGGCACCCCACTCCAGTACTCTCGCCTGGAAAATCCCATGGACGGAGGAGCCTGGTAGGCTGCAGTCCATGGGGTCGCACAGAGTCGGACACGACTGAAGCGACTTAGCAGCAGCAGCAGCAACCCTTTATGATGGAAATCAGAATAGGGTTACCCCTTGGGCACAGTGACTGGAAGGAAGGGCCAAGCTGGGGGTCTGGGGCACTGGTATGCACTCTGTTCCTTGATCTGCATGCTAGTGGACCCTGTTATCCTTGTGCAAATTCATTGAGCTGTATCTGTAAGATTCATGTATTATGTTTCAATAAACATAATCTGATAAATTAGTGGAGGGAAAGGAAATGGTGAATAAAACACATCACTCTGCAGTTAATGTTTTATCAGTGTCATGACCTTCTCATTTCCCTTCTTTCCTCCCCCTCCTTTAGTATTGAGAATGTTTTTCTCATTTCAGGGAAAAGTGCCAGCTGGCTGCCATATCAGCCCATACATCTTTTTTTGTTGTTGTTAATTTTTGTTTTTTAATTTTTTAATTGGAGGATAATTGCTCTACAATGTTGTGTTGGTTTCTGCCTTACCACTGCATGAATCAGCCATTAAGTATACGTATGTCTCCTCCCTCTTGAATCTCCCTCCCATCCCTCTCTAGGTCATCGCAAAGCATGGGGCTGAACTCTCTGTGTTATATAACAACTTCCCACTACCTAGCTATTTTACACATTCCACTCTCGCAATCCATCAACTCTCTCCTTACCCCGCTATGTCTACAAGTCTAGTTCAGGTCACATTTGTTTGCACTGTTTCTACCTCCTTCTTCCAAGTCCTGCCTCTCCTCAACCTGGCAGAGTCTATACTAAGCGTCATGCTTAACTTCAACGTCCAAGCTCCTACTTGCCCTCCAGAGTTTGTCTCAGCTGCCATAATTCCTGGATCTGGAGCACCCCCAGAGTACAAGTGAAGACCTCTTCCTAGCTTAAATAATTATATCTGCAAAATCCCTATTTTCAGATAAGGCCTCATTTTGAGGTTCTGAGTGGATATAAATTTGGGGCAGGGGTGCAATTCAGCCATTCTAGATGTATTGCAAAAATCTCTTGCTTTTTCACTCCTTTATTGGTGTCTTCTAATGAATATAAATTCCAAATTTCAAGGTAGTCCAAATTATCAACTTTCCCCTCTTATGGTTAATAATTATGTATCTGTGAGGCATTTGGGTCTCAAGGAGCATGTCTGTAAATAGATTTCTGCTGAAACCTCTTCTCCTTGGTACTTGTGTAATAGGCCCATCTGGCCAGGGCCTTGAGTATGTCTTTAATGCCAGTCCATGGCTGGTGGCCCAGGATCTCACTGTTCCTCCCAGCCCCTTCCCTATGGCTGAAGACTCTGCCCCCTCCCCTCCAACCTGCCAGCTGGGCTCCCAGCACATATATAGGGGTATCTCAGAACCCCCATCCCATATGGTTCCCAAGTTCTGAACTGTCATCTGCATTTCCATTGCTATGGACACTCTTTTGGAATCAGACCTACTGTTCTGTCATCTTGGGCACTGAGCTTCAACAACTGACCTGCCTCTCTAAGCCCAACTTTCCTTAGCTGAGTTGCTTTTCCCCAATCTCCCTCTTTATGGACTGAATTTTATCTCCCTCATATTCATATGTTGAAGCTCTACTCCCCAGTGTAACTATATTTGGAGATAAGGGTCTTCAAAGAGGTAGTTAAGGTCAAATGAGGCCATAAGGATGGGGCCCTGATCCAATAGGATTAGCATCCTTATAAAAAGAGGAGGAGGACTTCCCTGGTGACCCAGTGGATCAGAGCCCACCGGCTAATGCAGGGGACATGGGTTTGATCCCTGGTCCAAGAAGATTCCACATGCTGCACAGCAATTAAGCCCACACACCACAACTACTGAACCTACATGTCTGGAACCTGTGCTCCACAACAAGAGAAACCATCACAATGAAAAGCCTGAGGGCCGCAGAGAAGAGTAGTCCCCGCTCACCACAACCAGAGAAAGTCCACGTACAGCAACAAAGACCCCATGCAGTCAAAAATAAAATTAAATTTAAAAAATTATTTTTAAAAAAGAAGAGGAGGAGACAGCAGGGATGTTTGTGCACAGAAGCAAGATAGTAGGACCCCAGAAGAAGACGGCCACCTACAAGCTGAGGAGAGGGGCCTCGGAGAAACCAATCCTGCTGACACCTCGGAGTCCCAGCGTCTCAAACCGTGAGAAAATAAAACGTCTGTTATCTAAGCCCCCCAGCCTGTGGTGTTTTGTTACAGCAGGCTGAGTTACATAACACAGCCTCATGCTTCTGTGACAGCCTTCTTCCCTCTTCCTTGTAATTTTTTCCCAGATTGGGTTTTCCCAGAGGCAGATCCTGAGACATGAATTTCAGTGCAAACAACATGTTTATGTGAAGATTGAAAAAAAAATACTATCAGGGCTGTGGAGGAGTGAGACAGTGATGGGAGGGCAGCCAATAATGAACGGGCAGCTTAAT